TCAGCTATGATTTTTCTTAACATATTTTCAGCTGTTACACTACAGGTAAATGCCCTGCTAAAAACTGGGTTTAACATTAAGGTTTGCTTTGTAATTTTGAAGAAGTAGATATTAAGAATATTACAATTAAGTCAATCATGAAACCAATGTAAATGGAACCAATATTAAAATGAAGATCACTTAAAAAATATTGGACACAGCTACAGTTCTTAAATTTTGGAACAAATGTTCCCACATTTTGGTGAGGAACTTAGGGACATAGTTTAGCAGGCATGGTGTTGAAAGGTTTACGGTTGGGCTCAATGATCTTCTATGATTGTGTGATCCTACGTAGAAATGATTCATTTTGCCATAAAGATCTGTGGGAATACAGCTTAGAGTATATACAAGGGATTGTAATGTCAACAATGTGAAAAAACTATTTGCAAATAAGGAACATACCCAGAGATGTTCGAATAGTCACACACATCATAATATAGGCTCACAGAAACAGGCGTACTCAAACACAAGGTTTTATGTGATTCATAAAGCTACTGTCAAACAATATTGGCAAAAATATTAAAACACTCAAAAAATACGATACTGTGAAAGAGGTAACCCTTTCTGAATAAAGAAGGAATAATAAAATACTGAACAGGAAAAATCTTTTCACTTCAGAACACCTCACTCCTTTTGCCTGAGTAATAAAAAATCCTTTCATATTCAGACTCACAGTCTGAATCCCCTCCCTCGACCTGCTGGCAACACTCCTCCTAATGCAGGCCAGGATCCCATCGGCCTTCTTGGCCACAAGGGCACATTGTTGACTTATGGCTAACTTCTTGTCAACGAGGACTCCCAAATCCCTCTCCATGGAGCTGCTTTCCAGTAGGTCAACCACTAACCTGTACTGGTGCCTGGGGTTTTTCCTCTCCACATGTAGGACCTGCTCTCCAGGCGTAGGACCCTGCTCTTGCCTTTGTTCAACTTCCTGAGGTTCCTTTCTGCCCAACTCTGCAGGAGCTGTCCAGATCTCTGCTGCTGCTGAATGGCAGCACAGCCCTTTGGAGTGTTGGCCACTCCACCCGGTTTGTATCATCTGCAAAGGTGCTCAGGGTGCACTCTGTCCCCACATCCAAGTCATTGATGAACAAGACAAAGAGTACTAGGCCCAGTACTGACCCCTGGGGGACACCACTGGCCACAGACCTCCAACTGGACTTGGCACCATTTATCACAGTCCTCTAAGCTCTGCCATCCAGACGGTTCTCAATCCACTCCACGGTTCACTCATTTAACCCACACTTCCTGAGCTTCCCTGTGAGGATGTTATGGCAGACAGAGTTGAAAGCCTTGCTGAAGTCAAGGTACACAACATCCACTGGTCTCCTCTCATCCATTCATCCAGTCATCTCATCGTAGAAGGCTATATCAGGTTGGTTAAACATGAGTTTCCCTTGGTGATTCTGTGCTGACTACTCTTGATCGCCTTCTTTTCCTTGACTGCCTTGAGATGGTCTCTAGAATGAGCTGCAAAAAATACAAAACGCGTCACGAATTTGTGTGTCATCCTTTCTTTTCAATTTTACAAGCTAATTAAGTAAAAAGGTGTTTGCACAGCAACTGCAAACAGCAGTTTTTTTAAACAATCATTTGAAAGCAGTATAAGCAGAGAGATACTCTTTCTTTCTACCCTGTTAGACTTAAGGTTTCATAAACTTCCAAAAGAACCACTAAGACCAGCCAGCAATGTACATGCACACACACACACATACAGAAAATTAACTCTGCATGAAATTTGGGCTAATTATTTGATGGCGTGAATTTACTGAAGTCAGAAACCAATGAAGAGGGTGAAATCATGAGTGAGTTGCACTATAATGATTAGATAATTCCTTATGTCATTTTAATGTCAGTGAACTGAAGCTACTGTGTTGCCCCAGCATTCGTATAGGGCTCTTGAGGTCAATGCCACAGTCAGCTCCAAGAATGGCCCTGCCTATGAGATCCGTTCTTTGCTAATTTTCACCTGTCACTCATAATTTCCTACATTTTCCTAACTCTGATAGGAACATACGCATGAGAGGAATTTAAATCCTGTAAAAGTGGGCTTTTGAACAGGCCAGGAAAAAAAGGATTCAAACAGAAATTCAACTTTTAATAGATAACAGTTGCCCTTGATACAATTCCATTTAAAAATATCATGTGCAGAGAGAACAAATGTGTTGATGATGTGGTAAGCCATTTGGCCCAACAGAGGAAATTATATTCAAGTACAAAATATTGAATCACTTGGCTAGGTTTTTCATACTGGAAACAAAGTTATTTTTGCCTGGATTGGCACTAAAGAAAACAGCTTAATAGAGGTTCATCTCTTGCTGATTTTGTAAACTGTGTAGAAAGCCTTCCTTGGATGGAAAGGAGGGCACGTAGGAGTGAGGAGGAGAAGCCATGCACCAGTAGAGGATCACTGATTGCATCTATCCAGTCCATCCATGATGCATCCATCCATCAGAACAATGATAAGCCTCTTACAAGCTTTCCTGTACATTCACGCTACTTACATGTCCCTTTCACCTCAGCCTGAATGGAGTCTACAACTTTCTACCTATCTGAAACATCACTTACTCTCCCAGTAATAGAATTGTGTTTATTGCATCTCTTGCATCAATCTGTATGTTAATTTTTCAGATTGTCCTTTTCAAGGCTAAGTATTTACTTTCAGGGTACTTGCAAGACAGGCAAACACAGACTTAGCATACCTACGGCACGTGTCAATACTAACTAGTGCCTGCATTCAGAGTACAATGGTGCAGTCTGTAATCATCCATCACAACCTGACAACACAACAGGGGGCTATAAAAATGTGACTTGAAAAAATAGCAGGTCTGTGCTTTTTGAAGGATGGGTTTCATTTTGGAGCGAAAGACAGAACCCTGAGGGTGGGTTCTAGATATTTCCTGGAGGCAGATATAGCTGTAAAGATGAGTGACATTTTAAGCCTTAACAAGTTGGCAGGATCCCTTTAACTGAATTTACAAATGAAGGCAACCCCTGATGTGAAGGAAAGGCCACTGTGACTTAGTTAACTGTTAATGAAGACCCTGAGCCTTTACAAGACTAGCGCAGAATGGCAAGTTAAAGTAACACAGCCAGCTGGGAATCTCTGATGGAAAAAGTTGCACCCCCTTTCTTTGCCTTTGCCTTCCTTGTCCAGCAAGTCTCCAAACCATGAGGCTTTCTAGCAGACTGTTACCAATTACTCTTATCGCACTGTCTGTTACATCCACACACTAGACATGTTTACAGAGTATTTTCATCTAGAAATTATAATCTCTATGTAAAATATATTTAATGATCAAGTCACAAAGTCTATCCTCTGAATCTTTCTAATCATTGACATTAGTGATGGCCTCAATTAATTCATCTAGATAATTCCTGGACACCAAGCCAAGTCCTCATTTTCATATCTTCCTCCTGGCAGTCTCAGGTACTGACCTGTTGATAGACTGAGTAATCAGTTAAGCCATCTTGTCACCTTCATCTACTAATGTTATCAACAGCATTCCTTGATATACTAGGCTAAACTGAGATGAAGAAGGAGGGATAAAAAAAAAAACAAGGGTGATTATTAGCTCTCACACTACTGACATGGACTCAATGCAGGGAAACAAAACATTCACCTACCCATGGATGTTCAGTCATCAGCAGCAATTTTCCTGTGAGACAGCTCTCCATTAACATTCTCCAAATCATCCATATTGCATATATATCATAGGAGTCAAAGTATAAAAATCCACTGTTCTCGAGGCCGCTCTGCCCCTATCCTGTAGTAAAGCATGGAGTTGTTTTGACCAAAGTGCAGGAGCCAGCACTTGTTCTTCTTGAACCTGATACATTTGGCTTCACCCATTGATCCAGCCTGTCCAGATACTTCAGCAGAGCCTTCCTACCCTAAGCCATCAATATACTCAAAAAAAAAAAAATCAAATGATTGCAGCATGTCATCCAATAATTTGTGGCAAAATCAAAGCGTGCCTTTTAAAAAGACAATGAATCTTTAAGAGACTCCACGTGGCAGAAAATTTACAGCATCCTCTGATAAATCGTTGTGAGGATTATTCTTACAGTTAAAATTTTAATTTTGCATGTCAGTCACCTCAACTTTGAGCCACAAACACTTGTCATGGCTTTCCCCATTAAAGAATTCTGTCTTCAGTAATGCTTCACCAATATCTTAGTTTTCATTTAGCTTATAAAATCATAATCTTTTAAAACTCTCCATCTAAAGCATTTCCATTCCTTATGGAGAATGAGATCCAAGATTTCACAGAAATGCCTAGACAGTGTACCTTCATATGACTGTCAGATATATTTGTGCCCTCATAAGATTTTAAGAGATCTTTGTCTTTTTATGCTTCCTGTCTTTTTAGCCACTTGTCTTTCCAGTAAAACTGTCAAAAGAAGAAAATCAATATTGACTGAGGAATTATTACTACTTCTCTGTTATAATTTTGGAACATTTATCATCCAGAAGATTCATATTATACATGGTATCAAGACACAATTACATGCAGAGTTCATTTCCATGGACAATTGGAGCAGGAAAAAATGGCGAATGGGCAAAGAGCTCTTACAAAACCTTGAACAGAAAAAGAGAGCGTATATAATGTGGAAGAAGGGTCAGACCGCATGGAAAGAATACTGGAACATTATCAGAGAATGCAAGGTGGTGATGAAGAAAGCCAAGGCCTGTTTGGAACTAGAGCTAACAAGAGATGTCAGAGACAACAGGAAGGATTTCTCCAAATATATCAGCAGGAAGAGGAAGACTTGAGAAAATGTGGGTCCACTGGTGTTGGAAGATAAGAGAAGGCAGAGTTAATGCCTTCTTTGCTTCAGTCTTCACTGCTAAGGCTAGTTGCCATGAGCTACAGAGTCCAGAGATAAAAGAGAAAACTGGGAGAGAAGAAGACTTTCAACTGGTCAAGGAGGATTGGGTTAGAGATTATTTAGGCAAAATGGACAACCATATATCTATGGGCCCAGATGATATGCACCCAAGAGCACAGAGGGAACTGGCGGGTGTTATTGCTCAGCCATTCTCTATCATCTTCAAAAAGTCATGGAGAACAGGAGAAGTGCCAGAGGATTGGAAGAAACCAATGTCACTCCAGTCTTCAAAAAGGGCAAGACGGAGGACCCTGGAAACTACAGGCTGCTCAGCCTCACCTCTGTCCCTAGAAAGGTGAGTGGCTCATCCTACCGACCATCTCTAGGCATGTCAAGGAAAAGAAAGTGATCAGGAGTAGTCAGCACAGATTCACTAAGGGGAAGTTGTGTTTAACCAATCTGATAGCCTTCTACAGTGGGATGACTGGATGAGGGGGAGACCAGTGGATGTTGTGTACCTTGATTTCAGCAACTCAGTTCAACACTGTCTGCCATAACATCCTCACAGGGAAGCTCAGGAAGTGTGTGTTAAATGAGCAGACCGTGGGGTAGCTTGAGAACTGCCTGGATGGCAGAGCTCAGAGGTTGTGATAAATGGTGCCAAGTCTTGTTGGAGGCCTGTGGCCAGTTGTGTCCTCCAGCGGACAATTGGTGTCAACTTGTTCATCAATGACTTGCATGAGGGAACAGAGTGCATCCTCAGGGTGTTTGCAGATGATGCAAAACTGGTTGGAGTGGCCGATGCTATAGAGGGCTGTGCTGTCGCACAGAGGGACCTGGACAGGCTGGAGTGCTGGGCAGATAGGAACCTCATGAGGTTCAACAAAGGCAAGTGCCTGCCCACCTTGCTTGACAAATAATCTAGGCATAATATCTTATGAGGGGAGAATAAGCGAGCTAGGCCTATTTAGGTTACAGAAGAGAAGATTAAGAGGGGATTGACAGATCTTATCAACATGTACAAATTCCTGAGGGGAGAATGTTAAAGAAGATGAAGCCAAACTCTTCTTGGTGGTGGCTGGCAACAGAAAAAGAGGGAAAGGGAACAAGCTGAAACACTGGAAATTTCATGTCCATCTGAGGAAGAACTTCTTGACTGTGAGGGTGACAGAGCCCTGGAACAGGCTGCCCGGAGAGGTTGTGGAGTCTCCTTCTCTGGAGATCTTCAAACTTGCCTGTATGCCACCTTGTGCCACGTGCTATGGTGTCCCTGTTGGAGCAGGGGAGTTGCACTGGATGATCTCTAGAGGTTTCAACCTCAACCATTCTGCGATTCTGCAATTCTGTGAAATGATTCTGAGGAATATATGTATCGGCAAAGGAAGTAGGAGAAACAGCAGTTTTCCCCAGAACATTCTTGTTATTAAATGAACTTGTTATTATATGAGCTTAGATATGCCTTTCTCAGACTAATGCCTACCAATGTCCACTGTGAGTAAATAGGAGGTTTAAGGATTTCTTCTCCTGCAACCTATTCACATGTAAAGCAGAAGGGAATTCATCCTAAGCAGCTAAAAAATATCGACAATAATAATAACCTTTCACTGTAATTTACATATTTGGCCTTGTGCAAATATATACAAACTGTTTTGGCTAGGGGGTTGACTTTATTTTTACCTTTGAATTATAGTCTCAGCTGTGAATACAGTTAAAATTAGGGTTTATCCTGGTATAAACTATCTTTCTCCTGTAAACTATTAAACTATACCACTAAAATAGGTGTAGATTTACCATAGCTGTATTCCTCCAGCACCATCAGCAGCCTAGGCATGTTTGGATCTCATTGTGCATCAATGGTCATGCAACTGTACAGCTGCCTCTCACATCCACCCTGTCACCTATTAGCACCGTTATACATATCTAATAATGTATAAGTGAGGGACATGGTATGCCTTTACCTAAACCAACAGAAGAGGTATTTCTAAATAAGGAGTTTGTATAACCACTCCACTGTTCACAGAGGACCTTTTGAATACAAGCAGAAATTAGGTACCCCAGGATGAAACACGACAATAATTTGATAACATAGCATTAGGCTGTAGCTTCAGGTCAGGTTTTTGCAACTGGCCTGAGTTCAGAGTCAGCCTCCTGTGCAGAGGTCCTGCAATCACGTTATCTTCCTAGGTAACTCTGAGTGGAGCAATGTTCCCCTTGCAGGTGCCTCTACCCCACTGCTCCCTCATCAGTTTAATCACAGCTAGCTGCATGCAATATTTCTTTTTCTTTTTTTTTTTAATTTAGAAGGACAGAACATTATGAACATAGTTACATGTGATGTTTAATTATCAGAAGTACATATTTACACTCACAAAATATGTTTTTCTTTTGAAAACAGAGACTGCATCCATATTAGCACCCAAATTAAGCATTTTCGGGTGTTGAAACCCATCTCCTGTGCTAGTAAACTGTTAGACCATTCCCTGTCAAAAATCTGGTTTGTGCCAGTTAGCAATCTTCCTGAGCAATCCCAGACACCAACTGGCAGGTACAATGGCCAACAAACCATTCTCAAAAGCCAGTGTGTACACAGCCACTCTGTTTCAGACAAAAATATTTTACTAGCCTGTAAATAATTAATTTACTCATACACTGATGGTGGCAAGGTCCTGGCATTTGGTTCTCTCCCAGCAGGGCTCATGGGCTGTAGCGGGGTGGCCCAGCAATTCAGAGATATTACAGGTAGTTGTTTCCCCTTGCTGCTCTCCTAGTGTCCACTGTTGAGATGAAGCCCTGCACACATATGTACCTGCCACTGCCTGGGTCCTTGTCAACACATTTTTAGGACCTTACAATAGTAAGTAGATTTGTTCTAATCTGGAGGAAAACAATGATTTCCTATATCCTAAAATTAAACTCTCCAAGAAATTCAGTCTCTCAGACATCAGATGTTTTACATCTGATTTATGATTAGATGTGGGCTAATTATTTTTATTTCCAATAATTTGGGGTCGTTCAGATATGGCCCTTAGAATTAAAGACTTTTAGATTCAAACTCTAAGTACTATTCAATTTAGGAATTGGCCAAATTGTAGATAATGCTGGTAGCTCAACTTCCTGGCAAAGTCAAAATCTATTTAGTGGCAAAGTCATTGGAAAGCTTATTGGAATTTCACAGAATTGAAATCAGAGGCCCAACTTCAGAATATGACTTTGTTATCTCTCTGCAGAGCCCACAGCCCATTCTTTTAACTGAGGCATATCAACCCAGAAGGTTTGATATGTTACAGAAGATTCCTCTTGTGGAAGTACAGTGAGTAAAAGATTTTCTGATGACACAGTAGCATGACAAGCAGAATAGGGCTAAAATGACACAAATAGAACAAGCCACTTCTCCCTCTGTAATATAGTAAAGAGACAGACAGTGTTGCAGGGCAAGCTAGGAGTATCATATTCTGTTCTGCAGCATTTTCAGCATCATGTACCATCAGGAAGAGTCCTGATGTACAGCCCACTATGATCTGTTGATTCTAACATTTACCATTTCATTCTTGGAATGAGCCAAAAAGCTTTGGGCTTCTAAGCACTGACCATCATATTTCTGCAAAGACAGCTAGCGAATTAACACTCCATGATGCAGATAACAGAAGAGACATTTCAAACGTTCAGAAAAACTTGAGCTGAATAAAATATAAAGCCCAGATTATTTGCCACGGGGCGATCTCTACACAGTGCTATGCTCCAGGATTTCTGCAAGTCTTAAAGAGCTATTTAAGTGAAATATAAATAACTTTTCATAAATAATTAGTTTACTTACCAAACTTGCCAAGGCTGCATCTCCCCAGATCTCATGGGAAGAATTGGCTGTACTGAATCAGCTACACTAAGAAAGGTCCCTCTCTTCATGCCTTCAAATCTTCCACAGCCTGCCTGCTGACCACAAACTGACAGCATTTATGCAATTAAAATAAACTGGCCTAGAGTCAACTATATAAAAGGAGAGTGCAAAGTTTCTTTCTAGCTTGTAGGGAAGAGGGCTGGGGAAAATTTGAGGGGGTATAGAGTGGTAGATGTAGAATAAAAGCAGAGTAGTAGAGAGAAGACAGGATGTAGTTGCTAAAGGGTGCTTGCCATTAGCCTCTAGAAATAGTCAAGCTTTGGGCAAGTGAGAAAAATACAAGTCTTTCCACCTATCAAAAAAGAAGCTTTTGTTCTTTTCTTTTGGCACTAAACACCTTGTTAATTTTTCAGCAACTAACAGCTCTTTAGCACATGGAGAATGAGGTGGGCAATTTATGCAGTTGAATAAATTAAAGGTGAGAATGCATGCTAAGATAAAAATCAAAGCTATCTGATCTGTTTGTTTGGAAAGGCATCAACGAATGAGAATAGAGGAAATTGGTATCTCATTAAAAATGGGAAAGAGAGTGATACCAAGAGGGAGAAAGAGAGAGGGAGAGAGGAAACTGAAATCTTGTTAAAATAACTGGAGGGAGTGTCTTACCTTTCCATCTGCTAACAGTAGGGTATTTATTAGAGGTTCAGAGTACTTTTCCTCCAGTCAAAACAAACAAAATCAATGGCATTATTCTATTTTCATGGTCCAGTAGCAGTGATAGAATCCATTTCAAAATAAACTCCTCAGGTATGGAGAATTAGCTCACTAAAGTAAATGCAAGCAAAAAGGGTCAATTGCTTTTTCTCTTAATGACTAGTTGGAGTGTTGTGGCCTGATCTCCAACCCAGTGCATGTGAATGGCAGGTGTAGCCTAGACAGCTAAGCTCAGTCATGAATAAGTCCACAGACCAGCAGCTGCACCCTTGCCCTGAACTACTAAGCTAACAGCTCTCTTCAGGTCACCAACCTCCTGTGTATTTGGCTGGAATAGTATGGCTTGTTGCCCACCTCTTAGTTTAAAGATAAGCCATCATGTCTAAGAAACAGAAAAGTCTAACAGAGAAAAGGACTGGATGTCACTAATTTGTGACATGCACTCAACTTTCTTCCAATGGCTGAAACAATGACTACAAATGTAACCTTGCCTCAGTTTTGTCCTGTGTAGACAGAGGGTAAAAGTATTTTCCCATTTTACTTGAAGATCACAGTCGAACGATGAGAAAAATACAAAGTTCTACCACGCTAGAGAAGGAAGTCTAGAACTTAATTTGATTGCTGAACAAACTATAGCTCGGTCTGTCTATAATATTCAAGAATTCAAGACCTTTGTCCCTCAAATTGTCACACCCAGGACTGGGAAGCACATTGCAGGCCGTAACAGGGGAGTGGCTCACAGCTTCAAGGGCTTGGTCGCATGAAGATAGGCCTAGTATCCTTCAGCTTTACGCGCACCTCCAATG